TGGGCCACCCGGACACCTCTGACAGGCAATTTCCAATTTCCTATGGAATTAAACTGTAAAAGCAGAGAGTCCGTCACTGTCTGCTGCCTCCCTGGGAGAGGAGAAAGTTACCGTGGCAGGCTCGAAAAAGCTGGACTGTCCTTTCCCAAACAAAACAGCAACCAAGGAAGCTGGTGTTTGGAGGGTGGTTTCAGAGCCCTGAGCTACATGCCTGGATGCCCGTGTCTTCTGTCTCTATCTGCTTGGGTGACCTTGGGCAAGTCTTTGCCTCCCTCTTGGCCTCAGTTTCTCCATCCAGAAACGGAGGCATTGGATGCAGTGATGCCAGAGGCCCTCTCCAGCTCCGAGATGCTAGCATTCTGTAATAGAGATGGGTGTGGGAAAATATGAGGTCTAGGAGGACTGGGGGAAGGGGCTGGAACCATCCTTGGTTGGAACCGTTAAAGGAAGCTCTGTTCAGCCCCAGCCCCAAAGCTCCCAAATCCAGCAGCAGAACTGGGATCCACCCAACCAAAATCAGCGAGGGGAAGCCAAAAGCATGAGTAAGGAGAGGTTGGGTCATAAACATGTCATCTGCACAAACATCCAGCCCCCTCTGGGGTCCCATTGGCCCTGCCGGGGGAGGAGACTGATGCTGGGGCCCCCTCAGCCACAACCCCAAACTCGCTCGCTTGGCCCAGGATTTCAGGGTGGAGGCCTGACTGCTTAGAAGGGAACCTGGCTGTGGACGTGCCCCGAGGAGCTGTCAGGAAGGGCTGGGTGAGGCCAAGGCCGCCAGGGGTGGCTCTCAGCTGAAGGGAGGACTTCCACCCTGATGTAACACAGGGCTTTCTGGGATGGTCTCCATTTCAGATGTGCTGAGGTTCTGCCTTCTCCAGCCCCGACCATTCTCCCATGTTCCAGAAAGCCAGCAGCCTAGGGGACCCAGCTTCCTGGATCTTCACAGGCATTCACACCCAACATTCCCCAAACACAACTCTTGGTTCTCCCCAAACTGTCATCTTCTATAGGATCCCCAGCTCAGAGATGGCACCATCACCCAGAAGTAATTCTTGACCCTCTTTCTCTCTCTTCACTCACATCTAAGAGATTCCCAAAGGCAATCTGACCCTTTGAGCAGCCTGTACTGGCCCATTGCTCTCTCTCAACTTCCCATTCTCTCTTTCTTGACCTCAAGTGCACACAACTTGACTAATAATCTAGTTTTCATTTGACCCCCTTTTTAAAGATTGTCATTTTTAATAATGAAAATAAAGACCAGGACCTTGTCAATAACCTGCATTCCAAATGCATTATTCCCCCATTCCGTCACTTGTCTTTTGCCTTCTGAGGGCCATCTTGCATCCTGTGTTTATTGCTCTATTTCTTCCTTTTTCATACAATCTTTCTTTTCATTTGTATGCCCTCCTGAAGTCTAATTTTAAATTTTATAAAAGGATATCATGTGCTATGCAACCTTTTGGAATTGACTTTTTTCACTCAATATCATATTGCCAAGCAGTGTAGCTGGTTTGCAAGTACGGCTGCAATTTATTCCTCTTCGTGCCTCTACATCTCTTTCACAATGTGACATGATGCAATGGGAGCATCAGGAGGTGGAGTCTATTACCCCATTTCTTAAATCCAGGCCAGCCTTATGCATGCTTTTGACTCATATAATGTGGCAGAAGCGGCTTAGTGTCATTTCTGAACTTAGGCATTAAGAGACATTGTGGTCTCCCTCATTCTCATTGGAAGCTTCCACAGCCATGTGAACAAGTCTGAGTCAGCTTGTTGGGTGATGAGAAACATGCGGCTGAATTGCCACCAACCCACTAGCTGACAGCCTCTCAACCCTTGGAAGCCAAACCTCCTAGCTATCTCTCCATTGACCATGGACTCATGAGGAAGCCCAGCTAAGACCAGAAGAACTGCACAGCTGAGCCCAGCCTGAAATGCCTACCCACTGAATTGTGAATTAAATAAATAGTGGTTGTTTCAGCTACCAAGTCTGGAGTGGTTTGCTAACATAGCAATCACCAACTGATACATCAAGATCCAGCCACATGGTTGCTCGTTTCTGTGGTTCAGTCATTGTTCACTGCCGAGTAATATTCCACTGTGCGTATATAGCATTGTTTATTCATCTGCTCTCTTGCTGATAGTGTTCCTGCCATCATGGAAATGCCTCCATTAACTTTTCTGTGCATGTTCTCTATTGAACATATGCAAGCGATGACTTCTCCTTCTTAGACTCATAGCTACTGGGAATCTTGAATCCATTCTCCTCACTGTCCCAGAAGAAACTATCAAAAGTGAAAAACACATCAGACATCTCCTGCTCAAAATCCTTTGGTAGCACCTCACCACCCTCAAGGTAGAATCCAATAGTTTGATCTGATATTTAAGGTCCTCTGTGACCTGGTCAGTTACTTCCTATCTGTCAATAAATAGCTATGAGACCTTAGGGACAAATTACATCACTTCTCTGTGCCTCAGTTTTCTCTTCTGAAAAATGGGGCTAATAACAGACTGAAGCCAAATGGTAAAGCTGATGTTTCCAAAAGTACATCACACTTCAGGGCCTTTTCTCAGGAGGGTCCCTCTGCCTGGAAAGCTTGCTCTTTCCTTGTCTGCCTATTGGACTTGCCCGTCCAGACCTTGTCTGGGTGTCGCTCAGTTTGCTGCCTTTCTTGTTCATCCCCCACCTCCCAGTAGAATTGACCTCATTGTCCCCTGGAGCCCACTGGCCTCTGCACATTTCTGTCATTGTTCATGTCTGCTTACTGGGCCACTTTCAACTCAGGGACTATGGCCCATTCATTTCTGTATCCTAGAGCTGGGCACAGAGTTGATTCAGGATAAATGTAGGGAGAATGAATACATGAATAAATGAATGACCGACCTTGTTTCATTCATCTTTCATCCAACCACCATTTACCGAGGCTGGCTCCCTGCCAGGCACTGCCATGGCTCAGAGGGGACCTCTGCCTGCAGAGCCTGATGGGGAGACACAGACCCCAGTGAGGATGAGCACGGCTCAGGGTGGTCCAGGCTGTGACATGCGAGCTCCCTGCCCGGAACGAGTGGAGTGACGGGCCTGCCCTCGGGTTGCCCACCCACCATGGAAGGAAATGGGGCTGAGACCTGAGGCTGGGCTCAAGCAGCTCACACATTCAGTGCACCTGGGATTTCGAGTACGCACAGGATCACAGGATGGGAGTTTAGAGACACATGACAGTGTTAGATGCCTGGGGTACAAGCTCCATGAGAGCAGGGACCATCTTCTTCACTTCCTACAGCCTCTGGCCCAGCTGGGGTCTGACACGGAGGAGGTGGTCAACATAAATGTTTGCTAGGTGTGTGATAAATGAGGAGAGGCAATCTAGAGAAATAAGAACTGCATTCCAGTCCCGCTCGGCCTCATGGCGGTCAGAGACGACAGCCAGACACGTCTCTCCAGCCTCAGACATTTTCCAACATCCTATCCAACTCTCAATCCTATGACGATACAGAGTTGTAGGCTATGCCCTCAGGGGGTTCCTTGACTTTCTGGTCTGTGTGTGTGTTGAGGGGGCAGGGCACACCTGCACGGGCGCACACGCAGTGCCTCCCAGAGCCAGGCTTGGAAATGGTAACAATAACAGCAAAAAATAGGATAACTGTCATTTGGGGCACTGAATGCCAAGCTTGCAGTGCTTCACGCCCACTGCCTCATTTTACCCTTACCCAAGCCGTGTGAGATGGGTGAGGTTTTTGCCCCCATTTTACAGATGAGGAAACTGAGGCTCCTGAGGAGGAATGAATGGTCCCACAACTGCTAAGTGGCAGATGTGCGACACGAAGCAAGATCTCTCTGACTCCAGGCTCTTAGCTACTCCATGCCAACGTCTCCTACAAGAGTTCTGCCCTCTGGGTCCTGGGAGCACATCTTGCTGCCACTTGGGGGAAGAGTTTGATGATGGAACCTGGCTGAGAATTCAGAGATGGCTGAGGATTCAGAGATGGCTGAGGCCCAGGAAGGGGGAGAGGGGTGCAGGGATGAGCAAGGAGAGGGTGTTCAGCTCCACTGCCTCTCCAAACCCCTGCTAACTGGAGCCGAATCCGCCATGCGCCAGCTCTGGTGTGGGCCTTCCAGGGTTTGCATGGGAGTGTTCGCTTTGCTTAACTGAAAGGCCTCCCGCCGTGCTCGGGACTTGTTCTTTTCTGGCGGGGCTCAGGGAGGGCAGAGGTCAGCGGAGGCCCTGCCTTTGGCTCACCCTCAGGGGAGGTGGATTCTCAGCCAGTCTCAGAGATCCTGAAATGGCCTCTTGCACTCAGGCGGGAGCCCCAGGACATCGCGGCCCTCCCGGATCCAGCTCCTTCGCCTCACGTGCAACAGACCAGCTTAGAGACCAGCTCCGCGCTGGAAATCCAGCCACCCAGAAGACTGCTACAACTTGGCTTTTGAAAGGTGTGCTCTTTCTTCTAATGCTTAAGGGAGGAAAAAAAAAAAAAAAAAGCAAGCAAGAAAGCAAAAAGTAGAGAAAAATTGGCCAGACTAGGGGCCTGGTCTGTTGAGCCAAATTTCCCGACTGGCTCATCCTGATTGTGCCTGAAGCCGAGGCCGTCGTGGGGCTGTGCTTGCAAATGTACTCAGTGGACAGATCGTGGCCTCTTCTGCAGCTGCAGGCTCCCCATTCCAAGGCCCCAACTCAACAGGTCTGATGGAAGGTCTTTGGATGCTGATCCCAAATCGAGTCACCCTGGCGGGGAGGGCCTTCCTGGGCCCCTGGGGAAAGATTTGGTTGGTGAACCTAAGATCTTGCAGCTGAAACTGCTGCCCTTCCTGGAGGGCGGGGGCGGGGGCTGGGGGTGGAAGGGTTTGGGGTGGTGAAGGGTGGGGGCGGCAGGGGCCGTCTTGCTGGACAAGGGGCCTCAGGAAGATCATCTCCTGGCTCTTCAGGGACTGTCCCTGGAAGTGACCTGAACCCCAGGGAATCGGGCCAGAAGCAGCCTCCACCGTGATTTCTGCACACGCCCCTGCCCCTCCGGCGAGGTGTGGGGGTGGGTGGGGGAAAGGCTTGCTCATCCAGGCCTTTGGAAATATCCCGACACACTTTCCTCCGGGCCGGCCGAAGTTACTTTCCAAGTATTTCACTTTCCATTTCTTCTCCAGATCTGGTAACAGGGTGTTCCTGCCCTCTTCCCCTTACTGACCTTTCTGCCTGGGCCCTGCCTCTGCGGCGTTTCATCAAGTCGACATGCTCTCAGGAAACCAGGCCAACTCTGCTCTCAGCCCCATGGAAGGCCCAGATGTGGGCGACGGGCCCTGCTCAGCCTGCGGCAGCTCACCATCAAACCTGAGGGACACCAGACAGAGGGAAACATGCCGGGGGCTCCCGGGCTGCGAGATCTGGCCTCCTGACTGCCAAGGTCAGCTCCGACATTCTCTAACCAGCTGTGTTACCCTGGGAAAGTGTCTTGAGTTCTCTGAGTCTCAGTGTACTCATCTGTAAAATGGGCATCATCCTACCTGCCGCAGAACATCCTGAGGTTGAAACAGGACAACAAACGAAGTGTAAGTGTAGGTCTGGATTGATACACAGTATTTGATGCTGCTTTAACTTTCTGAAGTAGAAGTCGAGAAATTCCTCTCTTGGGGTCAGCCTCTCTTGTGTCTTTCCAGGCAGGCGGGAAGAAAGTGTAGTCACACAAAACTGGGTTTGAATTCTGATTCAGCTCCCTCTACCCCTGAGAACTTCAGTTATAAATCAAATGTAACGTAAAATGGAAATAAAAATGCCACCATCCTCAAGGGGTGGAGGGCAGGGTTAAGTGGCACAGTGGAAGCCTTTGGAATAGCATGTATGGCTGGGGGTGGGGGGTGGGGTGGCCATCATGGCAATACTTCTCTGGGATCAGGATGGTGACCTAGTCTCCAGTCCCTGTCCCCGAGATGGCCTGCGGGGTTCTTGGCTGGGAGGCCAGGCGTTTCTCTAGGAGGAAAAAGGATGCTGTATGTCCCGTGCTTATTTTACCCCATTCCCTCCCTGTCACCACCACGTTTTTCTCTCTTTCCAGGCCACAGGAGTTTTGCAGACCAGACATAGAAAGCAGGGACTGAAAGAAAAAAAAAAAGAAAAGAGGAGAAAAAAAGCAGAGCGAACTGAAGCCAGAGTGGGCGTCGTGCAAGAGGCTCTGGAGCTGCAGACAGTTGCAGCCTAGATTCGACGTGCAATGAGAAACGTCCCAGATCGCCCAAGCAGAGCTCCGGCCTACTTTGAAGTGTTGACAACACATAAAATTAAAAGCATCACAATGCGAATTATCACGTTGTTTTTTTTCCAGTCTGATAGCCTCTACAAAGCATTTTATACCAATGAATCAATACAAATGTCTCTTTACAAGGAACAACCAAAAAATTTTTTTTTCCTTAAGAGAAACCAACAAAACTAACAAAAAAATTTTAGCTCTGGCTCACGTAATAGCCCTACATAACTTAGTTAGGTCCCTCCTTTTAGCAGTGGCTATGGCGGTCACTGAGGTCCACTTGCTTGGGTCACATCATCCAGCCCCTGGATGAACATTCTGTCTGCTGGTGAATCAGAACCACCAGATGAGACAACTCAGTCAAAACCACATTGCTATTGTCTCGTGACTGCACACGTGTGCTTGTGCAAACGAATAAGAAAATATATAGTGTATGTCTCTCTATAGGTACATGCATGTATATATATATATATATATATATGTGTATATATGTATTTTGTGGTTTGGTAAAATGAAGCTCACAAATTAGAAATAATTTATAACTCGTTATAACTCGCTTATTGGCTGGGACTCCCTTTATGTTACAGCAGATGGACTTTTGCGTGAAATATTTTCCCCGAGTTGCTATAGAGACATGCCAACATCTTTCTGCTGAAGCGATTCCCTGCAGGCCTGTTTGTTGTTGCGCCCGGTGCCGAATCACTTGCAGGCTGAATCACTTGCAGTCCTTGCAGAGGCTGATTAAAGAGCCTGGGGGCCCTGGGAGTCTCGGGCCTCTCAGCTACTGCCACCAGGGATGGGCTGCAAAAGTCGTTAGGGCTGGACGGGGGGTTGGGGGCTGGGCTGGCGGGTGGAGGAGGATGCCCCGGTGAGCCAGGCAGCTGCAGCAGCGAGGGCTACTAAGGGGAAGGGGAGGGAATACCACAGGCTCATCAAGGACCTACTATGGTTCTAGGAATGTATCCATCTCTGACTTTGTCTTGTCCCTGTAGCAACGCTGGAAGGTGGGTCTCAGTCTTCCTGTTTTTCAGGTGGGGAAGCTGAGACACAGAGGAGTTCGGTGATTTGTAACTACCATAGCATCCAAACCCAGGTCTCTCTGACTCTATCATCTTACCATCAGTGTCTTCCCCAAATCGGGGTGAAGTGGGACAGATGGGGTGCATTTGGAACTTAGAATCTTGGTCAAACTGAAAAGCCACAGGCTGGGCAGGGTGGCCAAATTCAGCCCTCTGCCAGTTCCTCTGGCTGTCGGAAGATCCTCAGACAAAACCTCCAGCTCCATCACGCAACTCACAGTCCATTTGGGCAGACACACTCAGGCCTGTCTGACCAGCAACGTAAACATGGCCAAGCACTGAGACGCTGTGGGTCCCAACTCATGAGCCAGAGGCTATGTATAGGCGCCTGCCTCCCCCCTTCCCTTCCCAGGCAAAAATAGGAGCCGAGTGTTGTTTCCTGAGAGCAGGGTTTACAAAGAGAGTGGCTTACAGTGGTAACAAGGGCATGGACTTTGAAGTCAGACAGACCCCAGTTAGAATCTTGAATCCACTCTTGTCCAGAGGTGTGACTTTAGGGGACTCCCTTCTCCTCTCTGAGCTCTGATTTTCCTCATCTGTAAAATGGAACTCCTAGCCCCTACTGGCAAAGGTTAGACTCAGCTCTCCCACTAGGATGGAACCCCCTCCTAGAACAGTGCCTGACACACAGCAGGCGTTGCTAAATACATGATGAATGTAACAGGTATTCAATAAGTGGTAGAAATTATTTTAATCGGGCATTTCTTAGATTTTCAGGACCCTTTTCTTCCTTAAGATTCTTAACTTCCCTCCTGGGGCAGAGTTTCAAGGAGAATCCTGAGATTCCAAGTCTCCTCCCCAGCCTCTTCCAACCCATAATAGGATTCTTGGAGAATTAAAAAAAACAAAAACCCAAAACGTTAACAAATGTCTCAGTCCTTGGCGATCTCTTCCTATGAGAGGACTTTAGTAAGGACAGAAACCTAATTCAAACTTTCTGAAGATAATAAAGGTATATATTCATGGGAATAATGTGCAGCTTCAGGTATGGCTGGATCCAGATGTCTAGCCGATCTCCATCCATTTCTCGAGTTCATGCTCTTCTAACATGGCTTCACCTTCAGGCAGGCACTGCACTTGTGAAGGTAGGATGCCCTGCCTAGCTCCAGGACTGCTTCTCACCTGCTCAGCACCTTCTCAAACGAAAGGTAGTTATGATTTTCCTCATTTTACAGAAAAAACTGAAGCCCAGAGAGTCTGGAGACATTGCCCAAGGTCACATGGTGGGTCATTGGTAGATTCACTCTAGGAACCCCCAAGCCTGTGTTCTTGCTGGGACTTCACAGGAGGAAGTGAGCCTTGCAGCAGGTCTAGGATTAGCATTTGGAGAATGGGTGGGAGATGCAGATGGCCCCAAGATTCCAGCTTCAGCCAGGGGAAGCTGCTGGGCCCATGCAGGGCTATTTGTGGTTCTTGCTCTGGTTTGTGCCAAGTTGCACCAGTCTTGAGACAAGCAGGCTCTTGCCTTTTTCCTTCTTGCAAAATCCCAAAACACAATGTGCTTGAGAATGTTGTAAGCAGTTTATTATTTTATTTTGGTTATCTCAATGACCCTGGCTTTATTAAGGGTCCTATTTTGAACATCTTCTGTGGCTCTTCAGTGTCTCTCCTTCCTTGGACAAGGTCCCTACATCTCAGTCCATCATCACCCCACAGAGCTGGGATTCTCTGAGAAGGTTTTGGATGGAACACCTCAAGCCAGGCCTGAAGACGCTGGCTCGTGCTGTGGTTTCCTCCCCTCCAGATCTGTCTCCAACCCTTGTTCAGCCTTAAATCTCATCACACCTTTGAAGGCCACCCTGATGGCTTCACATCCATACTTTCTCCTTGTCCAACCATGGCCCTGCTTATCCGAGCTGCACAAACAAACACTTTGCACCTCAGGACTAGGTCCCAGTCATCTGTACCTACTGTTTAGCCTGTTTTTGAATTTCTCTGTAGAATTTTATCTTTCAAGAATTGGTTCAAAATAAAGTTTGTAAAGGGCTTTGCAAACTGTAAAGAAATATATATGACTCATGTTATTCTGTACCTCACCTTCACC